TTTGACCGGCTGGCCCTCGGTATAATTGGAAACTTTACCAATCAAAAGGAAGATTCGAATCTTTGCAGATGCTTTCGTGTTTGTTTAAAGGAAAAATTACACACAGGTTTCATAAAAGACAATTTATTCAGAAAAAGTCTCTTGAAATCCTGAAATCCTTCCTAAGTCCTCAGAAACTTGTGTGTAATAAATTACAATTGTGAAAAGTCTGTTTTGCTCTCATTGATTGAAAAAGAAAAAAAAACAAAGGAATGCTTTCTCCTGGTGCGTTGGGTGCTCTACATACATGAGAAGGAGAAGCTTTAAAAAGAAGGAACAGAGGTCTACAACAGTTGCCATTATGTCAATTATTCTAGGCAAGCTATTTTTTTTTTTTTCATCTTTTTTATAGGTGTCATCATTACGAACATTGTCTTCTTCGTCCACAACCATTAAAAGTGTAATGTTGGTTTGAAAAGTTGATTTGCTGTAGGTGTGGGGTATTAAGAATGTGATTGAATTTACTTGAACTATCAAAGGAGGCTCATTTTAATCATATGTAGTCTTAATCATTTTAGGTGTGATTTTGTTATGTGTGGTTAGAGTTATAAGGTGATGTTCTGTTTTTTTGTGATTGATGCTCTATGTTTTCAGTAACTGATGCTGTGTTGCAGATGAAAATGAATAAAAATAAGAGGTTTTTATTATTATAAGCCCTGTGATGCGATTGTTAAATGTCTTCTTAATGGGTACATTGAAGGTTGTTAATATAACTATATGACCTGTGATTAACAAGTCATTGTGATAGGTTGATATAAAAGATGGCGACTTCAAATGGGAAGCATTTGTTCTGTTACCTCCATATAGGAGGACAATTTATTAATGATGTAAAAGGTGAAATGTAATATGTTGAAGGTGGTGTAAGAACAAGAATGATAAAGGAAGGCACACCAATCACTAAAAGACCCTTAGAGAGGCCAAAAAAAAAAGAAGGGTTGAATCTCAATTTCAAAACAAAAAACTTCACCACCGTAGAAGATGTTATGAGCCAAGCTACATTGTGAAGACTTACCAGAACCCCAATCCAAGTTGAGCTTTGTTAGTGGCTTGTTTATATTTCTTTTTGTGAATACTTGTGACAGAATTATTTTGTAAATGTCATAACCCACACCTCAAGTTATCCATCATTATCTACACATGCAACCCATATGTTTTTTTGAATGGGTTGTAAATTTGGTGTAGTTACACAGTACATATATATACCAAGTGGTAAATAATATCTTGTTGTAATCTGATATAATATCATATCTGTATATTGATGTATTTGTCAATAGATTGTAATGGACTTGTTATGAGACACCGTGGAAGTTATCATTAGCAGGCTGAATTATGTTACTAATATAAAATGATAATTTCTCCTACTTGTAGTGTTCAATGATTTCTTAATACATGATGACTGTGTTAAAGTTGTAACATGATATGATTTGGCTATAATTTGATGTTATGTAGAGGCTGTGATATCGTACAGCATGAATTGTTAGGGGCACTGCTGAGGGTGTTAACAACTTCTTCTTGGGTTGTCAATAGCCGCTGTTGAGATTATAAATGAATCTCTACAATAAAAATCTACTGCGATTCTATTGGGTTCAGTTACAGCTATTAATGACTTCAAAATGCCTCACATTATATTGTTAAGGTTGTTATATGTGCTGATAATATAATTTTTTTAAAAGATGTGGTATCTGACAGAGTGAGTTGTTAGGAGTACTGCCGAGGTTGTTAACCACTTCTCCTCAAGTTGTCAACATTCACCGTTGAAGTTGTAAATGAATATCTATAATAAAAATGTGTTGTAATCCTGCTAGGTTTACTTAAAGCTGTTAATGACTTCTAAATGCCTCCTATTATATTTTTAAAGTTATTATATGTGCTAATAATGCAATTTTTTAAGAAACTGTGGTATCTCACAGAGTGAGTTGTTAGGGGGCACTACCAAGATTGTTAAGCACTTCTCCTCAGGTTGTCAATAGACGTCGTTGAGGTTGTAAATGGATCTGACAGAAAGGACTGTGATATATATCTATTATGTCATCATGATTAGCATTTATTTATCCAGTTTTATTAAGTCTTTATTTTTGGACATGATTCGGGTTTGAAATAAGGAATTTTGTGGTTATCAAAACACATGAATGCCATTACAACAACTTCATAACCAGCAAACGATACCAATCATATTAATATAATTTAACATTCAGTTGTCATTATGCTATTAAATGAAAAAACAAAATGTGAACTTTACAGTCAACTGTTATTATACTATCAAATGAAAAAATTAAATACAATATGTGTTGGTTGTTTATTTCTTCCTCTTGTTTTAGGGGTTTCCTCATAGTAAAGACAGCAATTGATTACCATACAGGTTGTTCCTATAAGTTACAAGCCACCACAAGCATCCAATCTTCAAGTTATGTCACTTCCTTATCAATTTTGTCATTTTCATCAAATAGTGCTGGCTTCACTCTACGAAAAACTTGGTAGAAATAATCTCTGTGCAAAAAAAAACCAAAAAAAAAGAACAACTTTGATACTAGTGAATGACAAGTAATCAGTAAGCATTAAAAACCTTGACAGTATTGAATGACAAGTAATCAGCAGGCATTAATTGAAAATTTATCAAAACCTATTTTTTTAGCCTTTCCATCATATCATGTATTAAGAAATCATTAAACACTACAAGTAGGAGAAATTGACACTTTATATCAATAATTTAATTCAGAGTGCTAATAACAACCTTCACAGCATCTGATAACAAATCCGTGACAACTTATTGATAAGTACAGTAAAATACAGATATGATATTATATCATATTACAACCAGATATCATTTACCATTATATATATATATGTACAATATAACTATATCAAATTTATATTTTATCTACAACGTCCATAAATTTATACTCATCAAAGATTACTGTGAATTTCATAACTATTTCATTACTTTCTTTTTTCATAATTGATGCTACCATTGTTCTAAATTCTCCATATGATGTGCCTTCCTTTATCATTTTTGTTCTCACACCACCTCCACCATATTGCATTTCACTTTCTACACCATTAATAAATTGTCTCCCTATATGAAGGTAACAAACAAATGCTTCCCACTTGAAATTGTCATCCTCGTATCAATCTGTCACAATCACTTGTTAATAACAAGTCATACAGTTACATTTACAACCTTCGATACATCCATGAACAAGACATTTAACCATCACATTATAGGGATTATAATAAAAACCTGTCATTTTCATTCATTTTTATCAGAAACACAACATCAATTGCAAAAAAACAGAGCATCACTCACCAAAACAGAGCATCACTCACCAAAAACAAGTATCACTTACCAAAAACATAGCATCACTTTATAACCCTAACCATACATAACGAAACTACATCTAAGATGATTCAAACCACATATGATTAAAATGAGCCTCCCTTGATAGTTCAAGTGAGTTGAATCATATACATAATACTTACACACCCACAGCCAATCAACTTTTCAAACCAACATTAAACTTTTAATAGTTGTGTACAAAAAAAAAAGAAATGTTATTAATGATGAAACCTACAAAGAAGATGAAGAAAAAACTAGTTTGCCTAGAATAATGAAGCACCAGCGCAGACCTTTATTCCTTCCTCCAGAAGCTTCTCTTCCTCATTCATACAGCACCAGCGCACCAAATGAAGGCTTTCCTTCTTTTTCTTTTTCTTTTTTCTTTTTCAATCAATGAGAACAAAACAGACTTTTCACAAATATTTTGCTTTCGGGTCTCTAGGGACTTAAGAAGCATTTTAGGATTTTAAGAAACTTTTTTTGAATAAATTGTTTTTTGTGAGACCTGTGTGTAATTTTTCCTTATTTAAAATGGTGGTAGAATTTTTTTTAACCATGATTTACAGAGCACAAAATAAACATGTGAAAAAAACTTCTTTTTTTTTTTTCCGATTATGTGTTTAGAAGTACTTTATATAAAGCAGCTCCAACCAGAGCCTTCAACGACAAAATGATGAGGGAGAATCCAAAAGGAATTGCCATTATGTGCAGGCATCAACATCATTCCAAAAAATAAACTACCAGTTCTTGTTCAAGAGGTGTTTAGATGGCATGAGAAGTGCTTTTAGAAAGCATTTTTTTACAAATTGTTCACTTCGTATACTATAAAATCACTTTTGAAACCATAGTTTGGTTTCCATTCAGGAGTGTTTGGACAACCCTAGAAGTACTTTTTAGAAACATTTTTCCGCAAATTGAGACAAACTCCTCCACATTTATTTCGAATATCATAAAAATCTTTTTAAAACTATGATTTTGTTCTTTCCCAAACAACCCTTTAGTCTTGTTCAAAGTACACACAGAATTATCGGAGCAAAGAATCAATAGTTTTAGCCACTATATCCATATGCGGTATGCTTTTTTGAGGGAGAAAAGAAAAAATAAGGGCATCGAGAGATTACAAAACAACATTTATAGTTTTTAATGATACCCACTCATGGTGATTATGATGGAACATTTTGGAAAAATAAATTCCCCATCTTTCATCAATTAACTAACACATTCTGAAATCAGCAACTGAACATTCTTTTTATATATTCAAATTTTCAGTTGACTGATTTCTCTCTAGCTTCTTGGGTGCCCATCACATTTGGTAACATAATTTTCAAATTAAGATAACACAATTTTTATTAATTTCATAAGTTAAATTGGTAAGTTGTAATGTTGTGTATATTCTAATTTTGGAGGGGATTAGCGCAATTGACGAAAGAGACCTCGCGAGTTTCTTTTCCCCCCTATTTGTTTTTTTTTTTTCTTTTTCCATTTCCTAAATGCAAGCTTCCATATTATCTAAAGAACATCCCTCAACTGATGAGGCTTTGAAGCGCTACGCGTTTACTGTATCATAAGACTGCAAGTTATAACTTCACCCATAATCATAAAAATACTCAAATTTTTAAGACGTATGTCTCTAAGATTTTGAAAGGAACTAGTATTACTGTTACAAGAAACCAATCTCTCAGATGAAAAATGAAAACTTTCATGGTCCAACTATTTAAGTGAGATTTTGAAGTTTAGCAAAATAATTAGACTAAATCACCTCTAAAATTTCATGATCCATCAAGTTAATCCCAACAGGGAATCATTTAATGGCACAATTAAAATAACTGTAAAATTAATCTTTTTAAATTATCCGATCTAAAGGCACTCAATGGAGTGCTTGAATTACCCAAAAACAGATCAAAGGCAGGAGACTACTGCCCTTCTGTTTCTGGCTCTGGTACGAAATTTCTATGATTTAGATGCTAGAGGTCAAAAAATTTACCTGATAGAGAATTGGTTGCTGTATGATTCTCAGTCTTTCATGTGAAAGAAAGATTTCCAGAACTTCAGCTTCCAATGTTTAGATGCTAGTCAACATCTTCATCACTCTGTAATACCGCTGCCTTTTGTTAGTCAAGCAAGGAGAGGCTTGAGGATTAGTGGTCTACCTGTGAATTCTTTAGTGACTTTAATCTTAATCAGTCAAGAGCACTGTACATGCAAGAAACAACGAGAGGCCAGGAAAGGAAATTTATCGCTTCTGTGCATGTGAACTGGATGGTCCTCCTTGATACAGGTTATTACTAACTAGAGGATAGTGTGAATGAATGGGTCCAAGAGATGGATTTGGATGTACAGCTTGGTGATGAAATGCCCCAGGATAACCAATGGGATTCAGAACGGGGACAAGCTTCGGTCGTTGGTGGGAGTTAAAAGACCCTCCAAAACCTAGTTGATTTTGGGCAGACGCAGGAGTTGTCCCAGGACCATAACCATGAGGCAACCTATTATAGGAACTAGAAATAGCAGGAGGTTGGAAGGTCCCACCCTGAAGGACATGTGCCTGATGGGCTAGTGCAGAACCTTTCCATGGCTCTGCCCTTTGATTACCCTGGACAAAATAGTTTCCTTCACTAGGTTTCTGAATCTGCTTTACTTCTAAATCTTCCACAAATCTCTGCCTTTTTAGTGGACGCTGATTTTCTGAAATAGGAAGATTCTTCATACTTTTGTCTATGTCCCCAGCACCCACAAGGCCAGTGGTAGAAGGAGTATCTCCTCCAAACAAAAGATCAACCAACTTAGTTCCCAACATCTTGCCATTAAGATAATCCGAAAAGTGGCTGAGAGACTCCCGGATACATCTGTAGATTGTTTTTACCTCTTCAGTTCCAACTGCTCTTGCAATATTTTGAGACCGATCCGTGAAATCCTCAACCTAGTAGACAGAAATAATCAGTAAAAATTAACTCCATTAACCAGAGCAGGGTTCTCAATACCCAGAGAAGGAGGGAATTACACTTATTGGATAAGAACGAGAACCCCATGATTTAAAAATCCATGATCCTTGATACAAGCTTGCACATAGGCCTTTCTCCCAAAGCTTTTCAACTGATGCTAGCTACAGTAGGAATGACGATGTCAAATAATTACTTCACGGAATTGAGACAACCTACCTATGGTATAACTTAAATACATTATGGCATAACTCATAATACAATTTTACTTGTAGAAATTAGGATTAATCTGGTATGTGTTACAACTAGGAAACCACATACAAAAGAGTACAGTAACTACCATGACAAAAAGTGTAACAAAAAGCTCAGCCAATGACTCTACGTTCTTTTGCCCAAAGGATACATAATTGTCAACAACCTTCTTCACTGCTGCTGGGTCAGATCCATCTGCAACATGAAATATACAAGACAATCAAACTGAATTTCGAAAATCAATTGTGAAAAACTTAAACTCTAAAACCATCAAAATAGCAATTGTAGAAATTGATGTTAATGTTTCAAATAGAGAGCCAAGAACACATTTTAAGTTTCAAGATTTTGGTATCCTTTGTGTAATATAGTACACATTTGATTAACTCGTTAAGGATTTCTGTCAGTTGTTCATTGTTGCATCTCGCACATTCTTCCCTGTCCTTATTTCTTGGTTGAAATCCTTTTATTTTAGATTTTGGTTTAACAGTGTAAGGGGTCATAAGGTCTTCCATGCAAACAAAAGACTATAATTCCTGACATTTCGTGACAGACTTAGGCAGAATCAGTCGTTATCAAATATTTAAAAGACCAAAATTAAAAATATATATAATAAAAAATAAGATTTTGCAAGGTGACAGAAAGAGATTCAATGCCTAACCGATCAGCCAATTTAAGTTATTTATCAGAAATACTCAAATAGCTAAGTCCAACAGAGCAATCACTAAACAAGAAAAGAGTAATTCCAGTAGTATATCCTTAGTCTTTTCAAATAATGCGACTGCTCTTTATAGATAATAAAGGCTAACGTTTACCAAGGATGTAATTAGACAAATCAAACCTCAAGAAAGTGTTCTGATACTACAAGCAGAACTTTCACCTTTAAGCAAAGCAGAGAATGGAGGTAATATAGGAGGGTTGCGAGTCTGCATCAAAAATAAGGATAAACAAAGTATCAGATTTAAATAAAAAGAAAATTAGTTATATATATATTTATAGACCATGCATCACTAAGGAACTGTCCGTCATATATGCCAGGCATCAACAAGGAACCATTTTAGGAATCAAGTGGCATTTCAATATTACCTAGAGATGCTATTTCACATATATCCTTTTTTAACCGGGGAATATTTAACTTCGAAAAACAGAAGATGTCAGCTGAATTCTCAAACATCTTTTTCACTAGGTATTTATATAAGCCATTAACAAACTTGGAAATAATGTTTTAATTGTTTACCAATCACATTGATCAATATTGGTATCCTCGAAAACTACATCAAGATAGTTATAACACGAATGCAAATGTCTCCTTGCCATAAGCGGAAATCATTGTACCATTCTACCAACAAGAAAAGTCTGCCGAATGTCCTTATTTACTTAACAGCTCAAGAAAGGATATTCCAAACCAAAATATAGTCCTCGGGAAATAGAGCCAAAAATCACCAAATCCAACTCTAATATTGAAGGTTTATAATTGGATAAAAATGTCTACAGTACCTGTAAATGAAGAGCAACCAAAGAGACAATAGATAAGGAGTTTAGAGTCCGGTCTTTGGAACTGTTGATGTTATGTGATTTTGCCCAGCATTTCATCTGCCACATTCTAAAAACCGTCACAAAACATTGCCAAAGTAGGCCCAAGTGCACTGCTAACAAGCCCGCAAGTGAGAAAGATCAAGGAAACTAAGATTACTAAATCATTTAGTGCTTATGTTCCCGGCTTTTCATTCTAAAAGGTATGGTTAACAAGGGTATATTCAATTACCAAAAAGCTTAACTTCTGAAATCTTTCGTCTATAAGAGAAATTGCATGGATAATATGAGATTTCTCAATGCCATCCCTGTTGTCCACTGACAAATCACATTCAATGCCAGTACCACAATCAATAACTTTTACAATTGGCACCCTCGCAGTCAGGATGGTCTGTACACCTCTAACAATTCCTTTTCCTACAATGCACAAGTCATCTGTGTCAATATTTTGAACTTTATCATCAAAGATGATAGAATTTTTAATGTACAAATGTGTTGCAAAGAAAAGGAAATAAGATCTACTCATCCACAATCACTTTCAATGAGATTAAATGTGTCAACTATCCAGTTTAGATTCAAAATCCAGGATATATAAATATCTTCAATTAGTAAACAATGAATGATATTTTTCTAGCCTCAATTTAATTAGGGTTCTAAATACAACACAGGCCAACCAGTTCATTGTTCACAGAGATTGGAATCTTCACAAGGACTATAGAAAATGACAAGTATTGTTGAAAATTGTCAGAAAACACATGATCTTCATAGGGAGTTCATATAAGATATAGCCCCAGGGGCAAGTTACTAAATAATGACAAATGAATTCAGTTCTTGTGTGGGTTCCCTTTTTACTCCCAGAACATTAAAGCAGATGATAACTACAGTCCTAAAATATAGTGCAATAATAAATATTTATACTGCACAACTTCCTAAGCAACTAAACTCAACAAGTAACTAAATTTATGTTGTGGAAACTTTACTTTGAAATTTATGAAACTTCTTAGCAAACTTTCGAAGGGTTTCAATTTTCTTCTGCCGAGGGACTTCATTTGAATTGTTTCCAAAATTTATGGACAAATCCAAATCACTTCCATCACAGAACATATCCATAACAAAAGAGCCATATCCCTCCACAACCGGGTAGCTAGTATTATTGCCTGAAAAGAAAAGGATAAACAGTGTTCAAAGCAGAGAGAATCTACAAGGAAAGAAGGTTCACATCTCAAGACAATTGAAGTTGAGGTAAAGGGGTCTGAAATGGAATCTGGTGATAATCACACTATAATAATTGTGTTTGTAATGTTTCAAATGACACCTTTAGTGTCTGAGAGAATTGCTGCAACAATGTTCACCCAAAAAAAAAAAAAAATTACTGCAACAATGCCAATATCAGATTATATCTGATACTGTAAAATATAAAATGCCACCATGAAGACTATTCCCTCACAACAAATACTTCCTTTGGAAGGGGGAAAAAAATGCAACAAAGGTATCTCAATCAAGATAACAGAAATAACATGATAATTTGATTAAATAGTCCATGAGAAGACTCATAAGATATATATGTAGTTTCTTATTGGGCTACTGATATGGCAAAAGTCAGCGTGGAAAAAAAATACCAGATTATAATAACCAGTCTTTACCATGGAGTGCATGTTTAAAATCCTACTTAGAAGAAAAACAAGCAATACATTTATGCTGTGTTTTGAAGTCTCGTAGATGACATATTTACTATTTAGTATTGTGCTAAACTACATCATATATGCAACAATATAGAAACGGGAAAATGATATGACTTCAAAAATTACTATATCTGTAAATGTACGATCAGAATGAAATTTAATGAGCTTTGTAATAGAAGGTTACCATATATTTCCTTGGTTATAATATTGAAGATACGAATTAAATCCTTCCTGTTGAAATAATCAACAGGTTTTGGGCATCGTATAGCATAAGCATCCTTAAGCAGCTTATCAAGACCACCAGAAACATGTGCAGGATTTAACTTGATAGTAGATAATACCTCAGACTCGAGTTTCTTTGCCTCTGTCAGCAAGTCTAGCATAACAATTGAAAGATACAAATCACTACTTCAAATATCAATAGAGTGATATTTAAATCATCAAGAAAGTTAAAACGAAAGAACTTAAAAATCATCACAGATATCCATGTGGTCAGGCTCAATTTCATTTTGCCACCTAGTGTTTTCAACAGTGTCATTTCCCATTGTAATTTTCTAGAATTCCTTCCATTCCCCAAATTCCTAGACCTGGTGAACTTAAAAATGCTAACAGGAATGCCCAAGGCACTGACTCGCTTGATGAGAGGGTAATGTCTCTTCAGCCAAGTAGATGTCTTCGTTGGTCATTTAACGACGGCATGGCTGCAGATGCCATCAGGCTGAAAGCTCGAATCTTATCATCCTCCTCTCAATTTGCATTTTTAATTAATGTATTCAAAAGTGCTGATGATGAGCTCATGAATTTATTTCAAGCAGACCCACTACTAATTGCTTGCTATCTCACTAGGAACATATCAAGAGTTTGACATTTGTTCAAGCCAACTAGGTTAGATTGAAGACATGTTATCTCTTAAGTGCTAGTTTGTGCTAGAGCGATGACCACTCAAAGCAAGCTGATTTAGCATATTCTAAATTTCAATTATAATCTACATAAAACCGATCAATCGACGATTCAAATAGGCACCAGAAGCAGGAAGTGAAAATAAATAAATAGATTCAAAACTTGAGTCTGCATAGATGCATTATTCTGTATCTCAAAATAGTTTTAGGCTGCCACATCTGTTGTAGTGCTGAACTTTTCTTTTTTGTAGACACCAAAAATATCCTTCAAGAGGAACTAATTCTCCTTAGGATTGGCCAAGAATAAACCTCTTCGGTAACATTAGCTTTTTCATATGAATATTACGCTTGAGCAGTTAATGCAAATTATAGATAGTTGTCTATTGCAATGGTTAGGAATATTTGCAATTAAATAGAAAGATGGATTTAGGTTTTCCAACACAATCTTGGTATTTAAAGCGGTAGTGTTGCCAAGCGTAGTTAATTAGTTAACAGTACAAGAGAACAAATATTACATCGTTGAATCCCAAATTTCATTCGGGCATAGTAAATTGCTCACCTAAACTGGCAGGTTCCATATCCTTGAGATCTGGACTTTCATCCAATTATAAAAAAAGAACAGCAAAGTCAGTTTAGACTGAAGCACCAAAAAGAGGAATGATAATCAGCAATATCTTCATATGCAAAATAAGGAAGGAAAATCTAGGTCGCTAGAAAACTCGGACTAGATTTAGGAGAATATAGATTACGTATAGTAATATATCTAGGGAAGAAGAGAAGCTTACTGATAGAGGAATAAATCAGGAACGGCGCGCAGATGGATTCGGCTTCGAGGTCCCTCCCAAGTTTGGAACCTTGATGACGTTTGACCGTGAAATTTTATATGGATGAGTTCCTCTCTGTTTCGTCGTCCAAACACGGCCACGTTGGCATCCCCGTGCAATACATTGGAGTCTCATATGCCACACAAATGCTCCTCTGGTACCGGGAAAGAGAAGATATTTTTTTTTAATCTAAAATAGTGAGAGAAATTTTTCATGTGGATATATAATTTTATCTTTTATTTATTATTATGGTGACTTTATTTATATAAGATATAATATATATTAAATAGAGATAAAATTGAAAAGTTATTGAATTTTAAATGAGAGTTAATGAAGTTTAAGGTTTTTCTTAATTTGTGTAAAACATATTAGAAGTGAATTATAAATAAGAGCAGAGGAGTATGTAATTGTTATCATTAGAATTATAATAATAAATAATATTTCTTCTAATCTTAAATGTAAAACTCATTTTATAGTGTAATTTACACCACAAAATATGTCTTATATTTAGGATCGGAGGAGTAATTTTTTTTATTTCAGGATTATTATTTTGAGTACATGGGTTGAAGAAGTACAAGTATAAACTAATACAAAACATAAAAAATAAAATAATGAAAATAAAACAAATTACTATAATGCAAGGTATTGAAAACTGGACTGGTACATAAACCGGTCAAAACAGTTGGTCAAGGGTCAGTGAGTTAGATCGGAGTTAACCCATAGTCAGACCGATAATAATTAAAATAATATATTTTTAAATATATTAATTATTTTAAATGAAGATTAAAATAAACATAAAAGATATCATGATAAATGTTAAATATGCCGGCCAAAAAGATGTCATAACTTAGTCCTATCACCTTTAAGCCATTTAGCGTGCTCAGGAACCTCAAAGCTAGAGGGTAGATACGTTAATTTGTTCCTCAAATACCTAGATATCCATTGGATATTAAAATTAAAGAGATTAGATACATTAATTTGTCCCTCAAATGCCCAAATGTCCGTTGGGTATTTAAGTTAACCCAATTCTTTTATTGCTTTTTTCTTTTTTCTTTTTAATAAGAAGGCAAGCCGAGGCTTGAGTGTTGCAAAACGGGGATTCCCCACCCAACAAAAACGACAAAAGTTACTGGGTTACTTGACCTTGGCCTGAATTATACCATCCTACGCAATAGTTTGGGATATCCTGTAAGAAAATACAGTCTTGCTCCATAAAGTGGGCCATCCTGGCTAGTCTATCGGAACATCCCAGATTTTCTCTAAAGGAGTGCAAGATCTCAATATCCCAATTATCAAAGATCAAATGTCTCAATTCCTATACCATCTCCCTCCATGGGTGTGAGGGGTCACAGTCCGTCATCAATAAATGGAGAGCATCTGCCGAGTCTGTGTAGAGTTTCACCTTGCTATATCCCAATTGCTTGCAGAGCTGTAGTCCTGTCAGAATGGCATGTAATTCCTCAGCAATTGAGGGAATACTGCCCAATTTCTGTTGAAAACCTCCCTTCCAATGATTGAGAGAGTCGCTAATGAAGCCACCGCACATTGCTGCCCCTTCTCTCGATCTAGATCCATCCACATCTACTCTAACATAATCCGGAGGTGGGGGTTCACGCTATGTGATGCTTCTTTGTGGTGTCTTGTATATCTGATGATGGAATCTTTCATGTTGTACTTCCTCAATTAGGTGATTTAGAATCATGTAGGTCAGGTCTCTTAGTTTTGTAGCTTCCTCGCCAAAGGCTTTCTTGCATCTATTCTTCCAAATCATCCAGCATATTGTTCCAAAGATCCAGTTCCACGACCATCTGGACAATCTTCTGTTTGTTGGGTTATTCTCGATGTTCCACTTTAGCCACACCCGAAAGTCACAAAAGAAAAAAATGGCATAGAATAAAGGGTCAATACAACGCAGCCACACTCTTTTGGTGGCCTCACAATCTCTCAGTGCATGTAGTATTGATTCCTTACAACCACACTCAAAAGGACACTCATCATTTTCATTGTTTAGGAATTGCGCTCTAGTTGCATTAGTAGGGATTCTCTCATGAAAAACTTGCCACATAAAGAATTTAGCTCTTTTAGAAATTCCCCAGTGCCAGATTTGTCTCCAAAGAGGGTTCATGGGTCTACTCTGGTGATCGCAGACCTATAGGCAGTCTATACATTGAAGTTTCCATCAGTGGCTTTCCTCCAACAGATCTTATCTTCAGCGTTCCCTGTTAGTGGTTTAACCATTTTAATTTTTTCCAGCACCCAATGAGGAAGACATTCTCCCCACTTGTTAAGATCCCATTGGCTGTTTCTTGTCACAAAATTCCTTACTGGTTCATCCTCATTGATGTGGTGAAAGTTCCTATTTGCGCAAAATTTTAGCGGTAACTCCAAGGGGCTCCAGAGATCACTCCAGGCTTTTGTTGTCACTCCGCTCTTAACCTGAGAACCAACACCTTTCAAGAAATTTTTCCAGAATGAGGTTATCACCCTCTAAACTTCCGATTGACTACACTTTTGAGTGACTTCAGCTAACCTATTTTCTCAACATTCATACTTGGCTTTCAAACATTTAACCCACAAGGCATGAGGTTTTGTAAGGATACCCCAACAAAGTTTCATGATGAACGCCACATTCTAGTTGTGTAGGTCTTTGATTCCAAGTCCTCCTTCTTCTTTACTCTTTTTTATTACGTCCCATGCCAATAAGTGTAGTTTCCTACTCTCATTTGCATGATTCCAAAAAAACGTTTCTGCTGACTTTTTCCAATTCTACTAATATGCCTTTTGGGAGTAGCATAGTTTGCATCTGGTAAGGTGGGAGGGCTGAGAGCACCAAATTTATAAGTACCGTTCTACCTACTAAGCTTGTGAATCTCCCCTTGCACTTTGCTAGTCTAGATTTCATCTTTTGAATCAGTAGAGCAAACAACGTCTTGGACTCTTGGTTGTTCTTTTATGCAGTAGTGGTACTCCTAAGTGCTTCCCTAGGTTTGGGGTAAGATCGATTCCTACCACCTGGCTTAGTTCGTAGGCTCTATTGAAGTTCACATTTCAAGAGACAAAAGCCTTTGACTTGCTCAAGTTAATCCTGTGGCTTGAGACCTGGCAGAAGAAACTCATGATGTCCCTAATTTTCTGCATCTGATCCGTTGAAGCTTCACCAAAAAGAACCAAGTCATCAGTAAAGAAGAGATGTGAAATGGCTGGCCCTCGGGTACTCAACCTTATTGGTTTCCAATTTCCCAGCTCTACCTCATGATGAATCAACTGTCCCAGTCTTTCCATGCATAACACGAAGAGATAAGGGCTTAGGGGATCTCCTTATCTCACCCCTCTGGATGGTTGAAAACTCTCTATTTCCTCCCCATTCCATAAGACTCTCATCGAGGTCGTGGAGATGCATTTCATTATGATATGGACAAACTGATCTGATAAGCCTAGACTTCTTATTGTAAATTCAAGAAATTTCCAATCTAGCCTGTCATAGGCCTTTTCCATAGCCACTTTTACATCAATAAAACCCGTCTTACCTCTCTTTGATCTCATAGTGTGGATTGCCTCTTATGCCAGTATGATGTTATCACAACTTTGACGTCCGCTTATGAAGCTACACTGATTTTCTTTTACCAGATAGGCCATAACGCCCTTGAATCTGTTTGCCAAAACCTTACTTAAGATCTTAAAACTCATATTACAAAGCAATATGGGTCTAAAATCTTTTAGTGATGTAGGTTGTTCCACTTTAGGGATTAGAACGATATAAGTTTGATTTAAATCCCTCAAAGAATTCATATTAGCCTAGGCTGCAGTGAGCACCTCACAAATCTTTGTTCCTACTTTATCCCACTGCGTTTGAAAGAAGCGAGGTTGAAGGCCATCCAGTCCCAGGGCCTTAAAAGCCCCCATTTCAAAAGCTGCATTCTTTATCTCAACTGTCGTGATCTCCCTTTGAATGAGATTCAATTGCTGGAGCTGAAGTGGGGGGAAAAGCACCAGCCAGTTATCAATTGACCTACATCTATTATCTGTTGTGAAAAGATTTTTATAGAAGTCAAGCATCATTCCTTTCATGATGTCTTGGTCATAGGTCCAGATTCCATTCATATCCTGCAGCCTTCAATGGTGCTCTTCTTCCTTTTCATTACTGTTGAGGCATGGAAAAATCGTGTATTCTTGTCACCCCATTTGAGCCCTTTACATCTAGATTTATGGAATCAGATTAGCTCTTCTTGTGCTGCTAGCCTATTGTCTTCCATCCAGATTTTCTTTTCTAACCTTTGGAGCCCATTTGATCTGCCAATTTGTCTTGCCTTATCTATACCTTCCAATCTTCTCAACAGTTCTTTTTTCTTAACAGCCACACTTCCTACTACCTTATCATTCCACTCTATAGCTGAATTCTTGAAAGATTCACATCCCTGAAGCCAATTTTTGTTTTCCCACGAGGCATTTACAATATCTGGAAAATCCTGCTTAAGGCACCATGCTGCTTGATATTTAAAGAACCTGCTTATGCTATTTCTCCTACTTTCACCACAGTCAGACACCACTATAACTCTATGATCACACTTAAAACACAAATTGTAGTGTACCTTCATATGGGGGTGACTCACTTCCCAATCAAAATTTCTGAAGACCCAGTCTAGCCTTTCCTTAATTTCATTTCTTTCCCAGGTGAATCTGTCTCCCACCACAGGTACTTCCAAAAGGCCACAGTCATCAATACAGGATCTGAATGGTACCATCATGTTATTTTCTGGTCGAGCTCCTCCTACTTTGTCGTCCGGGTTGAGAAAGGCGTTGAAGTCACTAAGGACCATCCAAGTAGAATCAATTATACCGGCCATACCTCTTAAGGATTCCCAAAGCTCCCGTCTTCTTAGATAGTTTGTGTCTCCAGAGACAAAGGTAACTAGCATGCCATCTGAGGAAGTTTTGCTAGAGATTTTGCAGTGAAGCAGCTGGGTAGTCGAGGAAATATATTCAACTGAAACTTCCCAATCTTTCCATAGTACCCAGATCCCCCCTGCATAACCTGTAACTCCACCCTGATCCAGTTACTAAAATCCATCTTCTTTACTACTTTATCTACTCTGTTTCCACTTATATGGGGCTCCATGATCCCCATAGTGTTAATTCTATACTTCTCAACGATTTCATTTATTGACCGTGGGAACATTTTCAAACCTACTCCCTGGCAGTTCCATGAAGCAACAATCATTTAAAATATAGCAAGAGGTAAAAAGGAGAAAGGAGCCCTTACAGGTCTAGGGGTTTATCTTCCTGCTTTGACTCATCTTCAATGAGATATAACGTATCTCTATAACTCCTATTTTTCCCATTACTAACAGAGAGTGGTTGCGGTGGAATTTCTCCACAAATCTCTAGCTCCTGTTCTCCCGTTTTTGTTGGTTCGTAAAGGGTAATAGCATTTAAGGTTGGTGTTTCTTCTTCCCGCTCAGTTCTCTGACTAGAGTCATTTTTGGATTTTACAAGTCCTTCCTGCTTTAGATATTCGGACTCTCTCAGGTCCAGGTTTCCTCTCACCACATTATGGGTTCTCTAGCCCATGACCTTTTTTCCCACTAAAATCTTTGCTTGGTCCAAGTTTCTCCCAGCCTTCATTTTCCCCTCTCCTACACTTTAGGCCTGTCTCAAGCTTTTGCCCCATTTGGGCTTTAAATTTTCCTTTCCGTGGACACATGTACTTTCTTTCCTAAAGCTGCCTCCTTTCTCTTGCTTTTATTTAAATTTTTAGGCCCCTCTATTCTTTTTCTCAACACCACGTCTCTTCCTTCCCCGGATATGGTAGCCCTATCCCTGACAGCCGACCTATATGCCTCCGCTCTTTCGATTTCCTCCTCACGTAGCCCCTGCATGAGTCAGTTCCCATGTTAGAGAAGACCGCAAATCGAGTTTCTTCTTCCCTACCGCCATTCTTGCAATCTGTTCTGGTATAGCCCCCTTTTCCATCTAATCTGTCTCTTCGATTTTCATGTCTGAGGCCACACACCTTGCTTGCACGTTGTATAATCATCCATGGGCCAAACTGGTCTTCTTTAGATAGGATGGCTTCGTCGGCGCGTCTTGGGCGGGGGAACTGAAGAGCTCGCTTCCTGGTGGTGATCTGTTTTTCCAGCCGTTTTCTTCCACGGCATGCTTCTTTTCTATGCCCATACCTCCCGCATTGAAAACATATGAGCCCCAAGCCTTCATACTCTACATTAAACAATGCTGAAGCCGATATAATTCTGGGGATTAGCTTTTTTTGTAGATCGATCTCAACGCATATTCTAGCAAATCTACCCCTTTCCACTTTTGCTTCCTCGTCTTCAAGGCTAGCTATTGTGTTCATGTCAACCTTCAAAGTTTTTCCAATCATATCGCCCAGCCTCTAAATAAAATTTTTCGTGTAGCATAACAGAGGGATATGTGGTATCCTGACCCATGTCGCTACCCTTCCCAGTGGGTTGTTAAAAGGGTCAAAATAAGGTGACCATCTCTATACCAGCACCGAATGTTGTCCCACAATCCATGGCCCTTCAAAGAGAACTCTTTTGTATTGTTCCCCCCATGTTTCTGAATTTTTAAACCTCACCACATTTTAGTTGTTCGGAAGGTCAATCACTTCAAAATTATCAAATTTCCCAGCTCTACTCAGATACTCTTTCAACCTGTAAACATTGAATCTTGCTCCCATCACTGTTATTATGAGTGATCTGTTCCATGGTTTACACCATTCATTGTACTCCTCTGGTGTGATCGAAACCACAAGGTAAATTTTCATCAGGCTTTTGAGTTCCTCTAATGGTTCGGGAATCGTCCATTCTTGATCGATGAGATCCGACAATAGAGGATCTTCATCCATATATGAGTTTCCATGAGCTACTCTATTAAAATCCTCCCCTTTGAAGCCCAGCAAGGATTCTTTGTACGATAAAGGGGGAGAGGATGGCATCTTTGTCACATTTGTTTCTTCAGTAGCATCTTCGACGTCAACCATTCTATCCGACATGAGAGAGTCTTCTTTGATTTCCTTCTTCGATTTTTTAGCACGGTCCTCTTGATCCTTTTCATCCGAAGCCCTGTCCGGAGGCATTTTTTGAACACCGGGGTCATCCATTCCTAAGCTAAGAGAAAGCGTGGCATGAATTTCAAGAGAGAGCGTCTTTTCTTTTTTCCGGGACGTCTAATGATAATTCCAAACAGTCTTTATTGCTTTTTTCTTTGAATGTATTTTCAATGGTAATCTACTTTACTTCAAACTCCTCGATTGCCCTTTTTTTAATTGTTTCTCTCGCCTTTCAATGTACCCAAAGGGTGGATCCAGCTGGAGTTTTTATTGCTAGGTTCAAAGACATTCATCCACTCTCAAGTTGATCAGTTGTCTGCTTTTTCTTCCTCCTCGTTTTCGTCTCTCTTCTCGTCTGTGTTTCAGCTATGTATTCCACTCTCATGCTCTGATTCATCTTCTTTAACTATGTCTTTTATTCCATTTATGGCTTTTTTTCCCTTCTATTTCTGCTTCATCTTTCTTTTATTCTTGTTTTTCTTCTTCATTTTCTAAGTTCTCCTTCTTGTCATTATTTCTTTTCCTGGCATGGGAAGCAGGCAGTGTCATTTTCTTCTTAACTCAGTAACTCGACCAACCCAGCGGGTTATCCAAGTCATGTCGAGGTTATCCCGGCTTAGGATGGGTCACGCTGGGTTGAATCTTGTCCGATTTGCAGAGGGATCAGACCGGACTGGTAACTGGTTTGCCAGTTTCCGATCTGAACCGACTGGTCCGATCCGGTTTTCCATTCCATGCTATAATGATAAAGAGTAGAGATAATTCAAGTTCCACCGATTTGTTTGTTTTCGTTTGGGTAGGATATATCTCTTTTAAAGGATAGACCATGTTCATGGATTGGTGGTGCCGTTTTTACTCCTGATAGAATGGATTCACGATGCTTCTAAATTTTATGTACAAAATTAGGCGGTAATCTTATGCTTTATTTAAAAATTTGAAGTAGTTTGAATTGTTTAAGATTTATGAACAATATAATTCTCTTATAAATTTTATGTGTGCGTATCATCATTATGTATGAGAAAAATTGAAATTAATTCATGACTTGTCAATCATTTTAGAAATACGTTTTCTTATGCTACTTCTAATTCTTAATATAAAACCTAGTTGACAAATTTTAGTAGATTAAAAACTTTTGTTAAGTTATTCATTTGTAATAAATATGTGTTGTCTTATCTAAAATATCATTACTAATCATGTGTATTAATTAGAGCTATCATTTAACAAAACATTTAACGTATGTAACTATTACAAAGATTATTTTGAAAAAATAAATAAATATAAAAGATAAAGTAGATTGAAGTCTTATATTTAAGACCAAATTAAAAATCAAACTAATTCTTATATCAAGAATATGAGGTAGTACATGCTTATCATTCAACGTCACAGTAACTCTGTGAGTGGAGGGGAAAAAACATTTGCATTTGGCTATAAAAGTAGCATTAAAGATTTAGATTAATTTATTTATAACATATAAATAGTGAATAGTTTATAAATTTTGTATTATATTTTTTTTTATACACATAAATTTTGTATTATATATAACTGTATGCATTTACTGTACTTAGGGGTGCTTTGGTTTACCCAAAAAATACTTTAAAAATATTTTATATAAATTAAAATAAAATTATTTTTAAAATCATGATTTAGTTTTTATCTAAATATTACTTGCATTTAAATTTAAGCAGGAGGTTAAACATCATAAGTGCTTATTATTTAAAATGAAAAGTTGATCCATGGCCCCAATAAGGGGCAAAAAAATCCATGGCCAAGTAAAACAAGATAACGGTAGTGGCAGTCTGACTCTGGCCCATACCGGCAACCTTGAACAGCAAAACATCATAGACTACTACTACAGGATTTGTGTGCCGTGTACCACATAACATAAAACGACACCAAACAGCTAAACCTGCCACTTGCCATTCTGTCATATTTCTTCTTTCCATTCTCTATCTCCCTCCCTGCACACTCACCTGTCTCCACTCACAGTTACCTTTTCCATCTCTTCTATTTCTTTCCAAGAACTTAATGGGATAACACACGACTTTCTACTTATAAGGAAAGCTTAAATGCCCAAGACTATAAGATGATTTGTCATGTCTTCTTCTTCTGAATTAGAAAAGACTGCATTAACATCATAAGATTATGAATCCAACCCGTGAGGGCTTGCATACTACCGAATTAAAGAGACAAACACTTGATATTACGAGTGGGATTGGACACACGACCTCGACCTTGACCTCCTCCTTATAAGAAGATAGTTTACATAACCTGAACTACGAGATGATTGCCATCTCTTCTTCCCTTTCTTTTCCCTTTTGAATTAAAGGGACAGCATTAGCAACCTAAGCTTATTATAGCTAGATTGAAGCTGTGAAAGAGCTTACATGCCATAGGAATTGGCATCTCTCAATTTTCCTAATATTATTCTAAAAGGAACAAAGAAAACAGGGGTAAATACGGTAAATTTAAATTCATGTACATGGCATACATATATATATATATATATGGACCATCTGATCTCTGATCTTTCAGATTAATTTCAATCAAAACTTGAACCACCTATGAAATTAACCAGAATCAAGAAGAGAAGCACGCTGCTGCAGGATACAAAATTTCTGCTTCCATGGAGTCAAAGGGCAACCAGAAAAAAGTCAGTTCTCTTTTTGTGTGTAAGTTCAACAGTGAAAGAACAAGGCGTGGGGAAGGTGATGTTGGCTATGGTGGTGGTTGTGGTGGTGGTTGGGTTCTTTCTCGATCCGCCACCGGAGATGGAGGAAGTCGTCGACGGAGCAGGGAAGCTTGAGAGGCCCATCGGAGTGGTAACCATAGACTTCGTAAGCTTTATCAAGAAGACGACGGAAGAGGGGGTGGTACAGATAGGAGATGGGGATAACAAACCGGCGAGTGCCGCCATGATCGCCGTCGTCTTCCTCCGCCAAACCAACCTCGACGGCGAGCCATCCTTTCTTCACTTTCATCTTCTTATTGTGATCCTCCTGTACCATCGTCTTCATCTCTTTATTATCTCCAGGAAGAAATATAACTGAAGAGGAAAGAGAAGAGAGGAGCAAGGAATACTGCAAAGGTTGTTGGTGAAGTGGCTGGGGAATGAAGGAGAAAGGGAATATATATAGGGAGAGATCACGAAGGAGGAAAAAGAAAAGGAAATAGAGGGACTAACAATTAACTGCCAAAATATAATTAAATTAATAATAATGACATTTAGGTAATAACAAATTTTTTAAAGAAAGTTAATACAATAAAGACTCTTAGTTGCAGATTGAAAATTGTATCTAAGATTTAAATACTTGATTTATAAGTGTAACTTATTTGCTTGAATTTTATTAGAGGCATAGGATTTATTAAATTGATATTTTGAAACATAATTGTCATTCCCATTATAAAAAAAATAAATTTGTGGATGAATAAAATCAATAAAAATGGGTGGGAGCGGGGACGGTACGAAATACGGAATCGGAAGATGGTGGCGGTGGAGTGGAATTGTGGGGTTTGAGTTTGACGTCAACTTTACCTCTTCATTAGGGAATGACCCTTTTGTTTATTTGGCCTTTCAGAAATGCATTCGTCCTATTTTTAATAACTATCAATTTTTTTTTTAAATTAAGAAAGGAATCTAATCAGAAAAACATTATTCTTTCATCTTATGTTTGATTAAAAAGCTTTTAACCCGCTGCTCTAATTTTTTAAACCCCGCTCCTTAAAATATTTTTTCTTTTATTTTTCCCTTACGAAACGAACTCTCAAAATCTTAGATTCTTAGTGGCTAATTTCTAAATTAATTCATAATATTGAATATTGGTTCACTTTTTCAAGTGAATTAAAATTCAAAAGCCATATATGGAAGATGAAAAATAGAAAACTCACTCTAGTCCTGTTTGGCAAAGCGGTGGAAATCTCCTATAAATATATTTTATGTAAGTTGAGATAAAACTCTTTTCATATATTTATCTCGTATTTCGTAAATTATTATTAAAAAACAGTTTATAAGCTACTTCTAAACTGTTTCAAATATATTTTTTATAGATTATAGTTTCGTACTTTGGTAAGAATTTAGTTTGACTAGATCAGTTACAGCCAAAGCACCCAATAACGACTTTATTGACTTCCATTTTAATTAAACCTGCCTGCAAGTTGGGGGTACTTGGTACGATGCGGGTCTGGCCCGAATCTCAATTATGAACTTTGCAGAGGGAAAATTATATTAGAGATGTTCCATTAAAAAATTTTATTAGTAAAGAAACCTTAAATCACAGTGTTAGTATTTTGTGTATACAAAATTTACAGTATATCAATATTTTTTGTGTATAAAAATTTATCAGCTCCTTCTTGTCAATAAATTTTTAATAGGAGATTTCCCCCCCCCTTTTTTCCTTTTTTTAATTAATATATTTTAATCTTATAAATATCAAAATATCATACGAAGATTATAGGAAATTGTAGCTACCGTATTTCACTAAATAACTGTTTAAAACTTGGAATTATTTTATTATTCGCTACAAATTTTCAACAGTAATAAAATAATTCTTAGGTATGCATAATTAGACATGTATTTTCATACTTTATGCAAAATTTGAGATGACTCAGGCTATTCGTGATTTATAGATATTTTGACCTTCCATACATTTTATTTATATATATAGATATTATTATAGAGATAAAGGGTTATTAATTAATAAAATAAAGAAAAGATTATTCCCTTTTTTTCACCCTCAACAAAATCATCTTGAACTGATTGTTGCCTGTAAAAGCCTACCTCCAACTGAGAAGAGAAGCAAAGCAAGTGGTGATATTAATATTAAATCCTCATGCCATCACTTTTGTCTTGCTTTTTAATTATGATCAATCCACAATTCACAAATCTTGAAAATGTTTGGCCAAATATATATTTATCCATATTTATTGTGGTTTTGCCCTTTATCTCTTCCACTTTATTTACCTTTTCGATCATTTCCCACTCTTCCATATCCTTGGCCTAAATCTTCATTAATCCTAAATATTTGTCATCTTTTTAAGCCTAGTTGTTCTGCTTTATAGGTGCCAAGCGAAAATAGTTGGATCTTTCAATTAATATTCGTAAAACCTTAGTTGTTGTTGCGTTATTAGAGACAAGTTGATTACTTGTTCTTAACGCTTTACATTATATTATTAATTTACATATGCTTTTCTCTATTATACACAATTAAAGAAACAAGTCATGATATTCATAATTTATGTAGTGAATAATCTTACGATAAACTTCATTAATCTGTTGATATATTAATGATGAGTCAAGCATAACAACAAGGCACTAGCTAATGGTAATTTTAAGACTACAGTGACGAGGAAAAATAAAAATATTGATAAAAATATCGCTGTTTAAAAACTTTATTTGTTAAAAGGATTATCTGATATATTTTTAAATACAGAAAATACAAATAGCACTACCTCCGGTCCTATTTATAAGATCTCATTTGTAACGAGGTTTTATAAATAGGATCAGTGATAATATTATGCAATATTTTAAACTTAAAAAATACCAGTACTCGAATTCATGTCCTTTTGATCAATAAAATTTTCAAACAGCCAATTTTCACTGATTTTTTTGAAAGCATATTGAAGTGTGACATTTTTTAAAATTCGAAATTAAAGCTTTTTTTTTAAGGTAACATTGGGTCCATGGCATGCATAAGATAGCAATAGGTGCAGCCTTTTTATGCTGTCCACTCTTAAAATGAGTGGTGTTCTTTGCTTTTATATCCATCGAAAGTTTCCTTCCATTGTTGTATCCTTATCATCTTCTAGAAAAGCCTCAACTTAAGCATCTTTGTCAGAAAATATCCCATCAGCAATAGATTTTTTTCAAAATAATAAATTATTTTAAAATATGAAATGGGGAGTAAGAGAGATGGCTATATATAGAATTTATTTGTGTAATAAGACGATTCTTGGCTACAAAATAAAAAATATACCGTTATCCCTCTCCCTTTAGAGACTTTCTTTGGTGGAGAAGATACTGATAATATACCGTAGAAGATACTCTTTTAAAACACAAGATTGGGGTAGATATTGTCCGCCTTGATTTTATATCTCCTTTCAAAGTTGAATCTCTTTATTGAAAAAATATTAAAGATTAAGGGACCTCAACATATAATGAATAACTAGCTATAATAATCTTCTTCAAGAGCCAGCGATTAGTGAACTTTTTAAATCTGGATCCTGATTAAAGCCAGCTGTTAATAATTATAAGCTCGTCCCCACACATTTAAACATGCTTAGAAAGCATAGCTTAATTAACTAAAAGAGCTTCATATGATCTAATTTATATATATAATAGTATTGTACAATTGGTACACTTGACACTTTCTTGATTGTACCACTACTAACAAATTGCAATTAATGACGTGCAAATCCATTACTAATCAACAAATTAAAATCTATTACTAATTTATTGGGCATTTTGACTCAATGACATTTTGAGTACTTTCTTAACTATTTTTGAAGTGTGAAATTTCGAGTTTGACCTTCTATGAATGTGATAGATGTATCAGTTTCTTACATGAGACGAAGGATTGAAAAAAAATCTTTCACCAATTTTTAATACAGTGGTGTAGTTTGTCATCAACTTTGGCAAATTTTACTAGTTCTTTATAATAAAAAAAACTTTTATTAATACAAAGATTTAGTGACCCAAATTAGTGATAAATTTATATTAATCACTAAATATGTAAGGTTTAATGAAAGTGTGATGGCAATCCAACATCTGTCACTTCTTCATCACTAATTTTTGCAAGCACTAGCGGATTATTTCAGCCCATCTTATAAAATTTTCACCACTAATTCTTGTGATCAGTAATGGATTGAAATTCCATCATTGAATATTTGATTTGTCACTAACTTTAATTTTATTTTCTTGTGGTGTACTGCTAGCTAAAGATTTGGTGGAGAGTGGCATGGTGCTGGCAATAAGTAATCAGAGTTTTAAGTGCACTATTAATCATTAAAATCCATATTTTGCAATTAATAATAAATACAAACGTAAAATATGGATTAAGTATAAGCACATTTAAACTCATATGCATGATTTGCCACCAAAGCCTTGAAAGAAATGAGAGTTTTATTTTTTTTATACATCAAAAAATAGAGGTTGAATTATGTTATTTTTTATGCTTTTAAACAATAAGTCAATATAAGTGGCTAATAGCAAAATGCCACCGTATTATGAAAATTCTTGCCTCGTTGGATGTTTGAGCTTTGATCCACCTTGGGTTATATTTACCCATTTTCATTTGCACAAATAAAAAGCGTTAAGGCATACATAAATTTACTAATAAAGTATTTATTTATCTACATCTAACATTATAAAGTTTTTATAAGTGCGAATATTTTAAACAGAATAAAAGTTACATATCTATTACTTATAACTAACATCTGTTATTTTAGTGTGATGAAGCTCACACTAGTGTTCTAGTGAACTTGATGGTCCACATTGCTAAATTTAAGAGACATAACATTTTTGCTTTATTTCAAAATGTTTATGTATGCTTTTTGTATTTATAGAAATTTATAATGTCATGTGCACATGAGAAAACATTTTATTTTAGTACAAATGTCTATATCTAAAAGAACCAAATAAATTTTTAACAAAATGCTGTATTATAATTTTTCTTTAAGGGAGCTGGCTTGGATAACAATACCTAAAGAAGTAGAAGATGATGATTTGTATTGGTATGATCGGGTGTGATGATATGGAGGAAAAATTAATGTGGGAAAGGGTCACTTCGAGAGGGGGCACTTAATCCGGTCGCGGCGAGGGGGAATGAACTCATGAGTCAACGGTCAGGATCAAACTTGGAGAATGAGTCCTCGTGCGGGCTATCTGTACCACTTGTGCAATTCCATATCCGTGCATATCCCACACGGCTGAGCTTTTATGCTTTTTAATTCATGACTATGTCAAGTTCTAATAGTTTACGTGCTATATATCCTCACCGATATAAATATACGATTTTAAGTTATTTTATTTTTTATATTTAGTATATCTGGATATTTTAGAAAAATCATGTTACACTTGTTAGAATAAATAATTTATTTGATTTCATCAA